ATCAATTTATTGAAAGGTTTCAGCTATAATTCGGATCTAAGATATAATCCCATCCTCTATCTTAATTACGATTAGATGTCGCTGTGAACGTCCCAATCAAAAATAGTTGGAAATGTTTTCTCACTAGTCTGTCAACGTGTCGGGTAAGAACACGCCCCTTTCACTCTGCGTGTTTCTTTTTTATCCTTGGACTAATATTTAACGCCTGGGTGAAATGACAACAAGCCCTTTAACTGGCGGATATTCAATGGTTTTGGTCGCTGGTGACTTGCATAATCGATTAACACTGTTTGCGGCGACGTTTATACATAGAACGAGGCATTAAGATATCCAAGTGTATATATTTTCTGATACCTGGACTGCAAATCGTGACAATCTATGTAACAGCAAATGGTCACGTGAATGATGCCAAGTATGCTGCTTATTCGCACCACGTAATGGTCACCATTTATATTGATTATCGGCTCTGTACAAAAATATTGGAATTGGTATTTGAACTTTAATAAAAAGCAGTCGAGCCACAAAATATCAATTACAAAATAATAAATTGATTGCAAATTTAAATAACCATTTTAGCAAGGAAATAAATCTGATTAAAATTTACCTACATTGATATTCGTCAGATCCGTGTCCTTGATAAACTCCTTGCTGGTGGGCATAAAGATCTGCTTTGAATCGTGTGGAAAAATCAGCGTTGCGTGCCATATCCTCGGCGAATCACAACCACACAATAGCACAGCACTCAGTTGTACGGCTTATACTTTAGAGATCAGCGTGGGTCATGACAATGAACTCCAGAGAGATTCCTTTGATACGGTAGCTTGGTCCTGTTCACCCTGCCGTACTCGTTAAATGTGAGAGAGGTGATGCGAAAGGCAAAACTAGCAGTACAGTATGTGATCATTTAGCAGCTTGAAGCGGTTCTCAACCGTGATAGGGTGGCGACAACATAATTGCCCAGGCCTACAAATATGCAGGACACATTCCCATTACATATGCCCAAGTAGATCTCGTTGATGCCTCTCTTTCTTAGTCACTCAACAATCTTTGTAGACGCCCAAAATGTTTTTTATAGTAGCTTGCTCATTGCCGTCGGGTTTAGCTGTTTTCTCTTTCAATGCCCAGTTTTTCAGGATTGTGTGGTTGGCGTCAAATAGTGCTACTATACGGCCGTTCAAGACTGCAGATGACAGTCTGGCAGTGCCGGTACAATAATATCGACCAATGTTGTGAAATCTGGTAATGATCAATTGATGTTGTTTCCGTTACAGCAAGCGAGCGGTGTAGTGAGCGGAATAGGTCAAGATTGTTTGTTTTTTTATTAACTTTATATGCTTAAGTCATTACAAGTCCATATGTAATAGTTACCTGCCTAAGAGCAAAACATGTCTAAAGAAGGTTTTACCTTGAATGGAAGATTTTCGCACTCGTCTATCATCTCGAGGAAGATTAAATATAAAAATCTCTACCTATCCCCGAGGAACACCAACATATAACTTAATTACAAAACTACCAGAACAATATTAAGCTGCCCTTCGCGACTTTATCCACGGTAACCAACCCTTGTCAAGGATTTTGGAATATATAAATTTGATAATCGAACAAAGCGAGAAATTCTTACCCTAGGCAGGACAGTTCGAATGCACAACGGTACGCATTCAAACACTACCGTCAAAATCGTAAAAATCAAAATCTACAGAGACGCGTTAGATAAAGTCATCAAATGAACTCCCGATGAACAGAGCGTGAGCAGCTAAAAGCCCAACATAAGGAGGAGGGAATTTGATGGACAACTCAGATAACTTGCAATTTTTTAGTAGACACTGCAACCAATGTATGACCCTCCGGAAACTTATAAGACATGTTGACCGAGAGAATACAGCCCTCGGTGAGAGGCTGAGAAAATTCTTCTGCGAATAAGGAATCACAATAGCCTCGATTCTTACCGCGCTGGACTTCGTCATTTGATTTTGCAGTTACAAGAGGAGCCTGGGACCTCAAAACGCCATCGCCATCTCCAGCTAAGCAACCTAAGCCGGACTACGTGGATGTAAACGAATGGGTGGAACTAGCAGCTGAAGCGATTGACTAGAATGCTGATAACGCTTGCATAAAACTCGGTGATAGCTCTGCTCTGAATAATCGGATCAGTCATGTGGTTCATGCTAAGACTGCTGTCAATGTCTTTATCTGCTAGTCTGTGATCCTCGTGGTAGCGTTCTTTGCTATTTTTTCGATCGCCCTTGCGAGAGAGCAAGAAAGCTAGGCTGCTTTCCCAGTTCAAGTAAAATGTAACCGATATAAAATCATGGCATATCATCAAAACAAGTGGACATTACGGACACAACATCATGACATTGTCATACTAAAAGTGGGCGTTCCGTAAATTCTAATAAAAGACGTCGCAACACTATTCCATCGAATTTGGTTTACGAAATGTCCAGCAATTATCACTAAAGATATATACACTGACGGACTCTTAATTTTTATTTAAATTGCATTACTAAGGTACAAATACTTTTGCATCTGTCACTCTTGAATATTTTCTTGTCCGTTTGTCTTTGAAATTTTGTTTC